CTGCACTAGGACTCTCTGAGATGTAATTGGATAAATTCTTGTCTGGGCAATTCATCTTGTAAAATCCAATCCAATCACACTTGATGGAGAATATTTTCACCACTTTTTGCAGCAACCCCCACACAGTTTTCCCAAAGGTACTGAAAAAGCTCATTTGACCAAGCAACAGTCCGAAATACATCAATATTTTAACAAACAGCAATTGGTGTTGCTATATGTCTGGCAGAGAACATGTTAAATTGACATGATGGTAAAAACACAAGTGGCTGGTAGTAATGACAGAGGCAACATCTTTGACCATATTTTACTCAGTCTGATATTGAACTTAAAGGTGCACTGTGTAGCTTTTTTAGTGGAAGGTCCGGCATCTGCTTGTCTCCATGGAGATGTAATGTCTTTGCCTTGAATGATATATAGTATTTAAATACACACAGGTGGCATACCTCTCCACCAGAAAAGCTTAATATAGTGTACCTTTAAATATTTGATCTATTTCCTACATAACATAAAAAGAGCACAGTTAATTAATCCTGACATCGCTGCTAGCAATACAGGAAGCAATTATGAAGTGTTTGTACGGGGGCTATAGGCTATTTAAAACATATAAGCGAGTTAACAATGGCAAAATAGAGAACAAAAGGCATTGTTCTGGTAGGCTGTAGTTTGTTGTCAATTTAGATCAAAATGCAGAAAATGTCTTCTTAGACAGCTATTGTTTTCATGTCTTAAGTTGTAGACATGTTAAATGCAACCTAAACAACTAATGTGGTGGTTACAGCAAATTACACCTAATTAAGTGTGCTTCTTTTGATGAGCAGACAAACAGTTTTGTTGTCTTAAATTGCATTACAGACAAAGATACAAAAGTTTGTTCCAAATTTAAATATCAGTATTAAGTTAAGACGCATGTACACACATGCATGTATGCTGTGATATGGCATAGAATGAGCATTTTGGGAAAGGGCATTTTTTTTCTTGTGGAGTGTACCATACTTCATACAAGCATTATGTACTTAAACTTTTATTCTTCCAAGTCACAATAACAAAATGTACTATAATGTAGGGTAAACACTGACATATATTTTACTTTGGAAATTATTTACCTCAAGCAGAACAAAGTTAAAGAATTGAAACATTAATCTTCGAGTTATTAGACCTCCTACTTTCTAAGTTGCCACTACAGTGACTGCATTTCTTAGGTAAAAATAACGATTATCCGGAGTTGGGTAGAGGCTGGAGAAATATCTGGAAATATTTACTTACCACTGGTAGGACCCAGGGACATAACACATGTGGTAGTATTGTCTATTCAAGTCCACCCATACGAAGAGTCTATAGATTGATTTCATATTTTTAAGTACCAAAGCCAAACAGGCTGGTCAACGTATGATGAGAGGTGTATAACTGAATGCTTCAATGAGGCACTGACCAAGGAAATATATGATGATATGATATATGTTAGACAAGGTCAAAGTTTGAAAAATGTCTATTAAAATCCAGTATGTTTGACTATCATGCAATCAATTTATTAATGCTGTTTACAAGGTCATCTTGCTCTGAGCCTCAGAAATGACTAAATTTCAATTTTCCCCAGATTGTGACGTCACAGATAGAAAACTTTCACTGTTTTTAAGTTAATAAAATCTGAGTATGTCCTGCCATTAAATTGCGTTAATT